GATAATTGTTAATTATAATTAGGATTTAAAAATCAAAATGAACTATTGCATTTGTTTAAGATCTATTATTTAATAATCGGGTTTTAACGATGATATCTGAGATCTGTTTGTATGTAAATTGTTAATTAAAACTGAGAAGTCGGACTAAACAATTACATTTGTTTAAAGTATATTATTTAATAATTGGATAAAGATATCAATGATCCACTTTGATAATTGTTATTTAGCATTAATAAATTCAACGAAATAAGTTCTAAACCTCTCACATTATCCATTTGTTTATAACGCAATATTTAACAAGTTAACGATGACATCTGAGATCTCTCTATGCAATAATTGTTAATTGGGATTTAGAAACCGGTCTAAACTATTGCAATTGTTTAAAATCCATTATTTAACAATCAGGCAAAGATATTAATAATTCGTTTGTTTGGTAATTGTTATTTAACATTAATAAATCAAAGGGAAATTATAAATCTCTCTTGCTATCTGTTTGTTTATAATGCGATATCTAACAAATTAACGACGATGTCTGGAATCTGTATATGCGGTATTTGTTAGTTAGGACTTAAAAATCGGACTGAATTATTACAATTGTTTAAAAGTCATTATTTAACAATCTGAGTAAAAATATTGATGGTCCACTTGTTTGATATTTGTTATACGTTACGCTGTTTGTTTAACGCTAATTTGAAACAAATTCCATGCTCTTATGTTATTTTCGGTAAACAACAAAGGTATAATTAATACATTATGCGTATCATGTGCTTTATGGAACTCAGTCGTTAAGGGCTGGCAGAAGAGACAGGCAAACTCATTTACACTTCATTTGCACTTCATTCATGGTGCAGATAATATCTGTATTTTACATTTTATTTTTTAGATTATTTTATAACAATAAAAATTAGTTCAAAACAAATTACCAAAAAGTAATGAGATCCTACCAAAACTCTTTTTTAAAAAAGAAAAAGATTACGCCAAGTATATAAAAAAGTATCGTATGTTACATCCTTCCTAAACCAAAAATATTATTTTAACAATAAAGTTATCCAAAAACAAATATGAGATCATACAAGTTGCCAAGTATTTGATTAGACATAGAAACAAAAATTTCTTTTTAAAACCGTTTAACCATTCAAAAGTACATGCAGCAAAAGTTTAATGCCAGTCTTTCCAAA